AAACATACAACATGTAGAAATCATAGTAAATGTTCAATATGTCTACCTTCAGACATTACGCATGCGTCTAGACGTCGGCGCATTGAGCCACGTATTCGCTCAAATATTCCTGGAGTCTCTCTAATTACCCTGCACGCATCGATAATGCGGTTTCTTAAGTCCTCTACATCGCGAACAGGAGTACGATAAACCAAATGCTGCAAATGGCCCCAAGTAGACAAATCCAGAGGATTGAGATCCGGGGATCGAGCGGGCCAATTCTGTGGTCCTCCTCGACCTATCCACTGATTTGCATATGTTTCAGTTAAATGCTGACGTGCTACTTGACTAAAATGGGCGGGAGCCCCATCATGCATAAAAACCATATCCCTTCTGACGCCCAAAGGAACTTCCTCCAGCAGTACGGGGGGATGCACTTTTCTTAAAAATTGAACGTATGCCTCACCATTTAATCGAGGAGGTAGAAAATGAGGCCCAATTAAATAATCCCCAATAACTCCGACCCACACCTTAAGAGAAAACTGTTCTTGATGGTTAGTTTCGACAATAGCGTGATGGTTTTCATCAGCCCATATGTGGTAATTATGAAAATTAATAATCTTGTCCCGAGAAAAACTACATTCGTCTGTGAATTCGATCGTCTTCAGAAAGTCACGATTTCTTCTAATCATTTCCAGCATCCAATTGCAAAATTCAAGACGGTTCGGAAAGTCTCGCGGTAACAGTGCCTGTACTCGTTGCAGATGGTAAGGGTATAAGAGATGTTCCTTTAAAATTCGAAATACCGTCATATGATCAACATTTAGCTGGAAAGCAATCTTTCTAGTACTGATAGTAGGTTGTTCTTCTATCAAATTAAGTACTGCTGCCTCAAGCTGTGGTGTTCTTACTTCTCGATGGCGACCACAATCCTGCGTTCTTTTGTTGAATGAACCATATTCACGTAATCGTTGATGAAGTCAGACAAATATTCTATGTGAAGGATGCTGCCGTTGAGGATACATTTCAGCATATCTTGTAGAAGCTTCTAACCCATTCCCCTGCGACAGACCGTAAACGTAATGCATATCAGCCATTTCCTCATTTGTGTATGCCATTTTAATAACAAGTGAATTATTAAAGTAACAAATTAAGAACAGAACAATACACAATTAGTATTACTTCAATTTCAAAAATTTACAAACTGACAGCTTGATTCCAATTTAATTGTCAGTATCGCTAATGGCGGCCTACTAGATAAATTAGTTTCGTATTTTCGTTTTATGGCGATATGTATCTTGTTCGTAAAATAATTTTTTGCTGCGAACTGGTTTAATTTGGGCAAAAAATTCAAGAGACATTTTTTTTTAGAATGAAACAGGCTATCGGAAATAAATTTTTAAATGGTAAAAAAATAATAAGACAAAAAATTACGTTGGAAATAAATTTTAGGGGTTGCGTTTTCCACCCCTTACAACCATGGGGTAAACCAAATAAATTACTGGCTAAGTGTCTTTTTGGTAGTAGAAAATGTCAGGTTAATTTCAATATTGTAACTTGTTTAGTGCTTGTGAAAAAAATTGTTAAACAAATTTTATGTACCCCCTTTAAGGGGCTGTATCTTAACAAGGGATGCTCCAATGAAGTTTCTTTATATGAAAGATCCTATCTTTTTTTCGATGAGGAATCACCCCCTTAAATGTTTTACACTTATTTAGTTACACCCTGTATTGTCATATTAGGATTAGAAGTGTTCCTTTTGTGGCGAGCAAATTTTATATTTGCGAGGTGAAGCGTAGCGTAGCCGAGCGGATGCGAAAGCGCGAGACAAAAAGACACTTTCAATCCGAATAAAACATGCTATTTTTTCTTCAACCAAAATCCCCCATTTAATTATTAATTTGTGCCTTGAAATTATTCAAATTAATAATAAAGCAAAGTAAGTAAGTAGGATATATCGATGTAGTCATGGATACTTTGTCAAACATTAGTCGCCATATTGCTAATTGAGTTCATTTGTGATTTCTGAAAACTCTGTAAAAATGGAATTTAATGCAGATTTAGGTGTACCTGAGGAGATACTGGAGTGTGCGAAAGAGATTTCTTTAAATCTTCTCCCAAAGAAATCTTGAAAAATGTATTAATGTGTCGTCTATTAACGTTTTATGGATTGGTGAAAAGAAAATAACATTAAGTTGTATTCAAAAGATGTATTGCTGGTGTATTTCTCAAACTTAGCAAATAAAATGAAGCTGTCAACGCTTTGGTCACAATATTCAATGTTGCGGTCAACCTTGGATAAAAAGAAGGGGATTGATATGAGCAAATATTCAAAGTTACGTGCATTTCTCAAGAGACAAATTGAGGGATAAGGAAAAAATATAAGGAGTATTTACAAAGGAGCAGGTTGATTGCTTTTTGAATAGTACGCCCGATAATTTATGAAGAAAGTAAATGCTTTAAAAATAAAAGAACAAAATTTTTTAAAAGTTTTTTTATATGTCGTCCTAATATTGGGAGTTGCAGGCGCATGCCGTTCTGATGAATTAGTCAATTTAACAATTGATAATGTTGAAGATTTGAAATCCACCTGAATTATAAAAATTCCCAATACAAAAACTAAATTATTTAAGTTTTTATCGAAAATATGTTGTTTTACGTTTACCCGGATTGGTAGAACGTCGATTATACAGGCACACAAAAAAAATTCATTAATCAGAGGGTAGACCCCACTAGTCTTAGGTTTTTGAGGTCGCTGAAACCAAATATGACTATAAAAAATAATTTCAATTACCCGTTTTCCCCCTAGCTCTTCCTGGAGGGGGTTAAATTTTAAATTTTCGTACAAAATTAAGATGTATGCTTATTTCTATGTTTTTTTGGGACGCTGAAACCGAAAATGACTACAGAAATGGATTTAACTCTTCTCTTATCCGCTAGTATTCCCTTACCCTGAAGGAGGTTGAATTTTAAACTTTTGTACAAAATTAAGATGTATGTTTATTTTCTTTTTGGGACGCTACAACCGAATTACGATTTCTGTCCTAATCATAACCGTGTTTATTTTGCCTTTTGATATTTTAACTTGACACCTTATTCTAGACAAGATATTTTAATTTTTTTCCGTTTGCATTTTGTTTTCTCTTTGATTTTAATGTTTACCAGTGTACCATGAATCTAATTTTATGCCTCCGGAATAGAATTGATTCCGTATATACTTTTGCAACTCCACCCGATGAAGGCGGATAACAGTTTAACTGGCTTAGAAGATCGTTTGAAAACAAGAGAGTTCGATATCATAGAAAGAGGTAAATGTCGAATCGTGTGAGGCAAAGGGACTCATGTTAATCAAGCACCCTGAATCGTGAGAGGCAAGGGGACTCACTTTAATCAAGCACCCCGAACCGTGAAAGGCAAGGGGACTCACGTTAATCAAACACCCCGAATTGTGACAGGCAAGGGGACTCACGTTAATCAAGCACCCCAAAGGGAACAGAAACCTACCACCTCCACGCTGTTGTTCCTGGTTTGCGCTAAGAATTGAACCAAATCATAAATACATCTAAGAGCTGACATTTCTGATCGGTGAAGTATTGACGTTTATAACATAGAAGCTGGAGGTACTCTTAAATTTATCTAATTAACAGGTAATTGACTTTGGATCATTGGAATTTTGAGTGTTGAGCCCATGAAATCTTTTCTTCTCCTCTTTTTTCCGAAAACGTTAGCGCAATTTACCGAGCGCCAACTTTCATATGGATCCTGCTGGTTCTTTTAAATGATTGTAAGGGAGTGTAAGGGGGTAATCGAGTAAGTGGATATAATTTTTTGTAGTCATTTTCGGTTTGAGCGTCCTAAAAACAGAAAGAAATACGCATACATCTTAATTTTCCATCCTCTTCAGGGGGTGATTATGGGAAAGCGGGCAATTGAAATAATTTTTTATGGTTATATTCGGTTTCAGTGACCCCAAAAACTTAAAAATAGTGGGGTCTCGCCTCTGGTTCATGAATTTTTTTTGTGTGCCTGTAGTATTTCTCATTCTGATGGTCGGTATTCATAAAATCAGTGCCGTCTCGCAAGAACTGGCAAAATTTTTGAAGTTGGACAACTGAAAAGAGTAAAGTGGACACGCATTACGATGAACGTCTGCTACCTTTTAGTTGACGGTACTGGTGACCTCACTTGTCTTAAAAGACACGGAGGATGGATATCGAACACTATGACGGAAGGCTACTTTTGAATAAAGAAAATATTGCGAAAATTATACTGAAAGTTGATAGTGGTAGTGATAAATCAGTCACCGTTGTCATTTCTGATTTCACATCTGAAAATAATATAACTATTAATGAAAACGTGTTGGACTGCTTTAAGAATTGCTTCAAGAATGAGGGTAGTGGCAGTTTCAGTGGTTTATTTAATTTTAATACTTACTTATTTAATATCAACATGGATCAAAAAAATTATTGTAAATATTGTTGAATAAACTTTTATAAATTAAACTTGATTAAGACTTTTAATCTAAGGATTAAAAATGTCAACTTTAGTTCCTAGGATTAAAATTGAATACTTTTGTTGATAGGTACCATTTTTTCTCAGTAAGCAAAAAGGTCAACCTTAGAGACTTAACAGTCAAAAAATGTCATAGTTTTGTGACGGTTGGAGAAAAAATCTTTTTTATCATTTTACTTTGTAATTGTATATCTGTTGAATGTGCATAAATGTAGTATTTTATTAGTTTAAAATTTCTGTTTTAATTTTATGAGTTTGGTTTCTGTTGTTTGTTGTTTCGCGTTTTTTGATTTTTTTTATTAGAATTTACTTAATCTCTATCCATTTCTTGTTATAATATAAACTGAATTTTTATTCTATTAATTTAATTGTCATATGCTCCAATACGAATGAATATATTGTAGAATGTTTTATAAATATTTTGACCTGTATTTCTTAATTCAATATAAAATAGCCTTAGAAATTGGGCAAATGTAGATCTACTATTGACAGCAATAAAAGTGACTTACAATTTACGCTCAGCGAAATCCTTTTGCTGACTGCTGGTGGTATGTCGTTGCTGGCTATGCAGAGGTACGCTCCCATCTGTCGCCTATCCAATCGCCAGAAGTTCAAGTGAGAGCCATTGTAGATTTCAACTGAAAAAAAAGAGGAGTTGTTAGATGAGCGGGCAAAGCATTTTGTTATTATTAGGTTTGTTCCTAGAGCAATCTAACACAGTTTCCATGGGCATTCTGATCTAATGGTTACATAAGGTTCAAAATTCGTTGTCTCGAATCAAATTGGATTGCGTCTGACTGTTGGAAACTTATTCTATCGCATTAGGTACAAAGTATTATTTATTTTGTTTTACATCAGTGCATGTTACTATTTTAGACGTTGAAACCATGTGAGTTAAATACAAACTGTACTGAAATGTTGGAAAACTGTAACGAACCTACTAACCGTTACATATATTTATTTTCAACTATTCACGGTAAGTAATTCTATAGTATATTTAATATTTACGAGGTTTTCTGTTAAACTACCCTCTGTGATATTATGTTAGAGTAGTTGCCTAATTTTATTAACATCATTACCACAATAGCGCCGTGTGTGGCAAAAATAACAATACTCCAGTCGAATTAAACCATAAAACTTTGAAAAAATTATTAATAGACATTTTATTGCACTTTATGACGGGAAAGCGTAGCTAGAATGATAATATCAAAAAAGTAATTCAAAAGAAGTTACGCTAAGTTAGCAAATTGCAAATAAGTGGCAAAATTACTGTCCACGAAAATTTAGACGACCTATCGGAATATTAGTCATTTTATGTTGTAGGCAATTAAATTACTTACAATTTTAGATAATATCAGTTTTCGAAAATTGCGCATTATTATTGCAAAAAGGGGTGGATGTTGTTGAAATTTATGGAAAAGACGGCCAATCCAATGACCAATGTACAGTGTGACCCATTTCAAATGGAAACATGCCTAGAAAAATGATACTTATTATCCAATTTATTTCGTTTTTTCTCTAAAAGATGAAGCAGTAAAAACTCTATTCTGGCGCAAAATATTAAAATTTGATTTCTATATTCAAGGCCTACTTCGAATTTTTTTCACTGTCAAATTTTACAAAAACTGCTTAGCGATTTTTTTGTTTCAAATCTAACTACGGCACTGGATTCAGCATCCCCTTAAACGGTTTCGTAAATAAATACTTAATAATGAGGGATGTGTAACAATTTTAATGTAGGCTTCATTTTATTAAATACCTACTGTTATAATAATTTTCTGAAAAAATGTTGGCTATGAAAAATGATTTAAAAAAATGAGAAATTAATTTTGCGCTTTTAATACAATAATACAATAAATTTAACATAACAATGCAATGACATTTTAGATTTTTGTAGCCTCTACAAGGCTACCGTTAATTTCGATGCACTTTTCGAATCCCTTACGAATATTTCTTTGAACATTCTGTAGTTGTAACGGGGTAACTTCTTCACAAGCTTACATGATTCTTGCACACAATTCTTTTCTATTGCCTGGACGTGACTTATAAACCTTGTATTTTATGACACACCATAAAAAGAAGTCCAACGGCGTTAAGTCCGGGGACCTGGGTCACCATCTAATTAGGGGGCTATTTCTACCTATCCATCGGTTAAGAAAGTTAACATGAAGCCACTCGGTAACCACTCTTGCATTATGGATATGACATCCATCTAACTGAAATTGAAGATTTACTTTTTCTTGTACATGTAATACCTATATGCCAAAATTCATTTCTTAGGAATTGCAAAACTGTACGCTATTCATATTACCCTCTAAAAATAAAGGGCTAATGATCGTTTTATTGAGTCGTTTACAATTAATTAATAACCGACTCTGGTATTTCTGTAGCCCAGTACTAGAATTTTGTGACTATACCATACACTATTAGTTCTAAAAGTTGCCTCATCGCTGAATATAATAGTTTTTAGAAGATTTCTATTCTTGAGGTACTTTCCTTGAGCCCATAAGCAAAATTCCATCCTCCTTTCATCATCACCAGGTTCCAAGGTGTGTAAAAACTTGTGTTCGACCTATAAAAATAATTTGGCTATAAAAATAATTTGTTCTTCATAGCACTCTCATGTAAAAAATATTTGTAAACGATTTAAAAAGTGCATCGACATAAATAGTGACTATTTAATAAAATAAACCTAGAACATTAAAATTGCTATAAATCCCTTATTATTAAATGTTTATTTACGAAATTTGGCATAAAACCGTTTTAGGGGATGCTGAATCCAGTGAATCCGTAGTTAGATTTGACATAAAAAAAATCGCTAAACAGTTTTTGTAAAATTTGACAGTGAAAAAAATTCGAAGTAGGTCTTGGACATAGAAAACAAATTTTTACTGCTTTTACCATCTCTTCGAAAAAACCCGAAATGAATCGGACAATAAATATCATTTTTCTAGGCATGTTTCCATTTGAAATGGGTCACATTGTATGTGCCAATCAAATCGAAAACTAATTTTTCCGCGTTCAACTATTATTTTACAGTTAACGATTTGGTGAAATATGACTTTAGATACCTTAGTAGTAGTAGTAGTAATGGGGCGGCCTTAGCCTGGCAATTAGGCCACAAGTGGGCCCTTTTTGCCTACCCCGCCGTCCCATCACCTAACTACTCTCTGCCTCTGACCCTCCTCGAACCTACCCGACGCCCTAATGAACGCCAGGATTTTGGTCCATGGAAGGTCTCTCACCTCAACCCCTTGCAGCTCTTCAGCACCAAAGACTTTATGTCTTATTCTCCCAAAGGCTGCACACTGTCCCAGAAGGTGGACAGGGGTGTCCTCCCCTTCGCCACATTTCGGGCATAGAGGGTCCTCCTCAATTCCTATTAAGCTTAAATGCCTCCTAAGTCTGCAGTGGCCTGTCAGAACCCCCACCATTTGGTTTAGGGCTCTTCGACTGAGGCTCAGCAGCCATCTTGTCTTGGATTTGCTAGGTCCATGTATAAAACTATGGGCCTGCCTGCATCCTCTATTTCTCCTCCAATCCAGACCTAAAGTTTGATAGGCCCACTTATTGAGGGCCCCATTAATGCTGCCTCGTGTGATACCTAAGATTGGTTCAGGTCCCTGTCCAGGTCCCCTGGACCCAAGACGAGCTAATTGATCCGCCCTCTCGTTACCAGGGATGCCCCTATGGCCTGGGACCCAAACCAACTCTACTTCTTTTCGTCTGGCCAAAGACTCTAGAGCGTCTCCACATTCTTGGACAAGGGCAGACCTAGTCCTCGGGGAGCTAACCGCTCTGAGCGCGGCCTGACTGTCGGAGCAGATAAAAATCTTCTCCTCTGCACAATTCCTTACCTCCTCCTTGCTTGCTACCATCAAAATAGCAAAAACCTCAGCCTGGAAGACTGTAGCATACATACCCAGTGAAAAGCTTTCCTGGATGCCGCTGCCTTCCAGATAAATTCCTGCTCCTGAAAACTCGTCTTCTACCCGAGATCCATCAGTATAGCACACTAGGGATCCCGGGGAGAACATATCACCATCCTGCTTCCACTGCTCTCTCGAGGGGAAAGTGGTGACATACTTCCTTCCTAACCTAAGCCGGTCCTCTGCTTCCGTAACCCTCATGGCGGATATTGGGATGTCCCTCTCCGCCCTGAGGGCCACGGCAGCATGGCCCTCAGTGCGTCCTTTAGCTCTCCAACCGCCGGCGTCCCTTATCCTAAGGTATGCCGCCATCGCCTCCCTCATAATCCATGTAGGAAGGGTCGGCAGCCCCAGAAGGACCTCTAACGCGGCAGTTGGGGTCGTCCTCATTGCCCCTGTAATACCTAAGCAGGCAAGTCTCTGGATTCTCACCAACTTCCTGGCTACCGTCACCCGGTCCACACACGGCCACCAGACCAAGGCCCCATACTGTAGCCTCGGCCTAACCACCGCCGTGTACACCCAGTGAAGCACCTTTGGATTGAGTCCCCAGTTTTTGCCAACTACCTTCCTTAACTGCCAGAGGGTTGCCACTGATTTCCGGGTAATCCTCTCAACCTGTGGCCCCCTTAGATACCTTAAATTGTATATAATTTAATTTTCTACAACATAAAACTAATTTTCCCATAGGTCGTCTAGATTTTCGTGGGCAGTAAAACATGTGAAAAAAAAACGTTAATGTGCCACTTAGTTGCAATTTGCGAATTTAGCGTCTCTTTCGAGTTACTTTTTTAATATTATCATTCCCCGTCATTAATTGCAATAAAATGTCTACTAATAATTATTTCACGTTTAAATTCTAATTCGACTGGATTGTGAGGATTCGGTTATTAACTTTGCGAGAGTGCGGTTGTAAATTTTTGGGAAGGCGTGGTGGATTTCAAATATAGGATATAATATCGGTTATCCAGTTAAATTATGTAAGTGTTGAATATTGAATTAGAGACGGTTATTTTGATTGTTATATGTGTATTTTGGGCAGATACTGTGTTTTTGGTAATCTAGTGGCTGAGTGATATCGCGTTGTTTATAGGATGGAACAGAATCGATTCCATTCTATATGTATTTTGTTAGTGAAGCCAGGATCTGTTTTGTGATTGTGTACAGGTTCTGAGGATCAACATTGCTCATGTTGGAATTGCTGCATATTTTTTTGTAGAGTGGACCATTAGCATGTCCAAGACGAAATCTGAGGACCCTTTCCTTTTCAACTACCCTGTTTAAGCACGTAAGTTCTAGCATTCCTTATGTACTCGTAATTTGTTGTAATTGCATGAAACTTTTTTAGAAATGTTTCATATTAATGCAGGAAAAATAATATAAACAAAAAATCAGATATCAATAATTTAAGCAAAATTGACTTACATTTTAAAATCATGAGTGAAAAAAGTTCTTTACAAAATTCAAATTTACCGCCAGTGTCAAGGTTGGCAATATAGTTGGCACTACTAAAATCTCTATATGTTTTTGGAATCTGTGTTCAATCGTCAGTAACGGCTGAAATAATTTTATATCTGTCCACATCCATTTTGATTTCAATTGTATTTGTTTATAATAATTATTGATGTTTTATGTGTTTTTATTGTGTGTAATGAAGTCCCTTTTTAAACTAATCTCCTATTAGTAACTAATTCATGTCTTTTGTGTTG